AAAGAAAGGTGTTGGGTGTGGATCTTGCCAAGATGACCCCATAAATGAGTCAAAGGGCTCTTCCTTAATTCCTGGGAATCACAGAAGTGCAGGTAGGTAGGTAGGTAGGTATGTAGGTAGGTAGGTAGGGTGGCCAATCAATGCTACTGCTCGCCATTAAAACCTCGTAGGTGACCTCGGGCAAGTCATTCTCTCTCAGAAACCCCAAAGAAAGGTGTTGAGTGTGGATCTCGCCAAGACGACCCCATAAATGGGTCAAAAGGCTCTTCTTGCATTCCTGGGAATCACAAAAGTGCAGGTAGGTATGTAGTAGGTAGGTAGGGTGGCCAAATAATGCCACTGCTCACTCTTAAAACCTCGTAGGTGACCTTGGGCAAGTCATTCTCTCTCGGAAATCCGAAAGGAAAGCGTTGGGTGTTGATCTCGCCAAGATGACCCCATAAATGGGTCAAAAGGCTCTTCTTTCATTCCTGGGAATCACAAAAGTGCAGGTAGGTATGTAGTAGGTAGGGAGTGTGACCAATCAACGCCATTGCTCACCCGTAGGTGACCTTGGGCAAGTCATTCTCTCTCAGAAACCCGAAAGGAAAGCGTTGGGTATGGATCTCGCCAAGGCGACCCCATAAATGGGTCAAAGGGCTCTTCTTGAATCACAAAAGTGACCACTGAAGGACGCTGGCCAAACCAGCCACCCTCTTCATATGGAATATGAGGATAGTCCAATCTGGAGGCATTTGGGTGGGCAAGCGATAAGCGTAAAGCCCTTCTTCGAGGCTCTGGAGACACAGAGAGAGAACCGAGACAGGGGAAAAGACAGGAAGGAGTGAAGGGGGGGGGGCTCCATCTTGGACTGAAAAGGCAAGACCCTTGAGGTCAAGAAAGGGCAAGAGTGGACAAGAGGTCTGTCCAAATGGAGCGGCCCAAGGAGGAAGGAGGCTCAAGGGAGGCCAAACGAGAGCTTTGGCACCGAATCTCTTGCCGCAAAAGGCTCCCAATTGGAGGGGCTTTGAATTAGACGGGCTTCAAAAGGGGGGCACGTAAATGCCCATTGGTTGGCTTGCTGGGGGGGGGATGTCAACCAGTGGCTGCTGGGGCCAGGACTAATCTGTACCAAGGTGGAGCGTGTGCAGTTGCTGGTGCCCCCATGTGTCCTGCAATCCATCCTCTGGGTGTGCTTACTTTCGGGGCCTTCTTGGGCCAGTAGCCACCCTTGGAAGAAGCCGGCCCCCTCCTCAGGATCAGGGGGACCCCTCTCCAAAGAGAGAGAGAGATTGAGGGGTGCTTTGAATGCAATTTTCCTGCTTCTTGGCAGAAAGGGGTTGGACTGGATGGCCCACCAGGTCTCTT